CCAGCAGACCCTTGACTCCCATTATTTTAAGAATAATAAACTCTTATTAAATAAGTATAATATTAAACACATTCCAACAAGGTTTGATGGATAAAAAAATTAACATTAACAGCTTTTGTAATGTTTTGTTCCATATGAATAATTTAATTTGTGTGTATTATAGTGTTAAAGCTTTTATGGTTATCAAGTTATATAATGTACGTATATTTCACTTATAGTTTTGCATTGTAGTTATTTTATAAAAATAATTTTCATTCAATTTATAACGACTGTAAATTCTATAATTTCACTCGGATAATATGATGATTGACATTTATTTATTCTTTAGAATATCCATTCTTTAGAATAAACAAATAAAGACGATTTATATGAAAGCCAATGGTTTTATGGCATGTTAATATTCATATTAAGATAAATTTTATTATTAATATTTATTAAATTGATGCAATTCTTTGAAAAGCATAATTATTGTCTAAAATCATTTATTTCTAGAATTTTTTAAATTTATAAATTCACACTCAGTATATAGAGGACAATAGATTTATGAATAAGCATATAATATGTACAAAGTAATGTATTTTATTACATATTTTATATTCACTCTTAACAAAACTTTAATGTTCTTAGATGTCAAAATATTAGTACATTTACATTATCATTCGCAAAAATGTTTTAATCATATTTACGTGTTTTTATAATGTTTTGATAATGTTTTAATTCAGCCATATTCTATTTCAATATTATTCATCATAGAGACTTAATCAATTTAAAAATTTGTAATTTATTAATTATTACATTACAATTTATATACATGTTCGTGTACATTATATATGATCATAAATAAGCAGAATTTTACATAATATTTTTTACATTATAAATAAATGTCAATTTTAACTATCGTTTTATAATACTTAATGCGTTGGATGTTTTAATTCAAAAGTGTAGTAACTTTTTTTGAAATATTTCTGAAAGATGTAGATGCTCGAAACATATTAAAGCCACTCGTTCGATATTGACAGTATCGGATGTGAAATTACATTTTTCTATATAATAAATCTCAAAAACTCTGAGGATAAACTTATCGAGCCTTTTAACAAATCGAGAATAAACTTTTGAAATATTTAATTGCAATAAAATAAAAAGTTGTAAAGGTTTTTTCATTTTTATTTCATAATTTCGAATATACGCGAATAAATTGTTTAGCTTTAATTTTCATATGATTGGCAAATTCGTTTTTATAAAGGAAATACTAATCAATGCACATTATGAAGTAGGAAAGATGCAAGAGGAGATTTTTGTATTCAAAGATTTGCAATTAGAAAAATAATCTCGTCCTAATTTGAAAGTAAAAAATTCAATATACACAAAGGACGTTAAGTTTTCATTACTGAAAATCTCAATCACTCTTTTTATCAACATACATTGAATAGATATTCGATTTTTATGTTTTTAAAGCCTTTTTTTTTTAAAGGATGAATTCAATTTTCAGTATTACCAAAACGAAATTTTAAGATATTCATATAAAGTAACATACATATATTAAATATATTTAATACATCTACATATAGAATAAATATGCTATTGTAATATAAAATATTTAAATGGAGACAATGGATTTAATTCTTTTTATTTTTCTATGAATATTACACTTTATGAAAATTAAATTACAGAAAGACGTTCGACATGTGTAATGAATGTAATACCCATTTCAATATATATTACAATCCATATATTTACTCTATAAGAATATTATTTATAAGACCTCGTATACATTAGTCTGTGCTTTAGCCAATAAGATCCTAGTGAACTTTCATAGAGAAACCAATGAAAAGGGAACGAATATATATATATATATATATATATATATATATATATATATGGCAAAACGCATGAGGACGAAATCCTCAATTTCTTTTTTAAATTATTTCATTATATCCAAGAATTATCTATCAAGCTTATAGATCCAGTGATTATATCTCTTTAAATTTTATCTTTTAAGTACACTGATGAAACGTAATTTTACGATGAACGGATTGTCAGTGAAAAAGGAAGAACTTTCTTTTTACTTTTCGACATGATTTTTTTGTCTGTTTTATTTCTCAGTACTCTTTTATGTGTAAACAAGCTTAATCTTTCTCTCTTATCCTCCTTTCTTTTTCTCACCGCTACTAAAACTTTGCAATGGAGAGGCATCAGTAAAAGAGAATAAAGGAAAGCATAAAGAGGTAAAGAATATTTTAACTCAAACGCGAATAACCCGAACTTAAGCAAAGTGAACTGTAAATGCTTCATTTTTTCAACACCCTCTTTGTAATTCTGAACTAAAATATTTTAATAGATATTTGTTATAAAATTTCATAAAATTTGACTACTTAAATAGTATCATTAAGTCTTATTAATCTATCAGCATAACGTAATTTCATACCTTATTTATAAATATATTGAAATTAATAAATATTTTCAATTATTTACCAAAAGTCTATTCGCATAAATTTATCCAATAAATTATTAGTGTGCATTCCTGAAAAGTCTGCTCGCGAAATACATTAGCTGATTAAAGAGTATAAAAAAATAATATTATAAACATTATTCACATGCTCATACAAGTATTTTTATAAAATAAAAAAATTGATTTTTAAAGTAGATAATGTTAATGGTTACATGAGAAATAGTTATGGACTTATATTTTGAAAGTTAAATTTAAGAAATAATTTACATTGTATTGATTATGTATTGAGTACACCTGTACTTTAGCATTAGCATTACACAGAACAGTTATCAGAATTTGAAATTGTGCATTTCTTTGCTTTCATATCAGCAAGTCATATCTTTTACCCTAAATCGTAGATATAGTTTAATTCATTTAAATGAAAAAATTAAATAAAGAGCTTTTTAAACAAAATTTTTTTTCACTTACTTTACAAATTTTACTTCATTTTACATTTTCACATTCTCTTTTCTTCAAAATGAAGTCAAATGATAATATCATATCTCATTCTATTAACATAGACAGTATAAGTTACTAGAATAAAACTGAAAACAAAAATGTGAAAAAGTAACTTTCATTAACATTTACTTTCACTATAATCATATTATTGTGCATATTTAAAAACTCTTAATTTATTATTTAATTAAATAGAAACTCAGTTGAAAGTTTATATATGAGTGTACATTTTTACTTTATGCAATAAAAAAATTCAATGAAAATAAAATTTTTAGTAACTATAAGTAACTTTTGAGTAATATAGTATGATTGTAAATATTATAAAATATAAATAAAAATATAAAGTTTTTAAAATTATTACATGAATTAAATGGAATAAAATTTTTATATGTATTTATTTTCAATTGAATTTATATATTTATATTTTACCTATGAAATATCTACGTATTTTAAATAATAAAATATTGATTACTTTAATGTGTATAATAATAAGTATAATTTGAAAATAATTTAGAGTATTATTATATGCAGAATAAAACAGAATTTATTTGAAGAAAAATATATTATTAGTATTTAACATCCACGTACACACACACACATACGCACGCACGCACGCACGCACGCACGCACGCACGCATATATATATATATATATATATATATATATTCAATCAAAATTATCATTACATTATCAAAAAATGGAAAAATATATCATAAAATATGTTACATTACTTGCTTTATTTATAAGCTATTCACATCATATTCAAAATGCATAATACTTATTTCTATTTTCCTAAAAAAAATTTTGAAATATACGTATATGTAAAAATCTATATATGTTACAATAACTTGTTTTCACTCTTATTAAATTACAATATTATATTTTCAGAATAACGTGTACATTTCTTGGATCATTTTAATATATAATATTTCTTAATGCAACTGCTCCATTTGATTCATACGATTAACCAAATTGTTGATTAATAATTCACAGACAAATTATGAGGGATTCATAGAATATCTTAAATAAATTATTGAATCGTGATAGTGGAATGAAAATTTAACCTTACAATACACTTTATATCGATTTCTTATCAATATTTTATTGAGTTCTTATTGCTTTTTTTTTAATATAGTTTTAAAAAATATTATAAAACTTTCGATGGAATAAAAATATTCCTAGCTGATATAAAGAAAATTAATTGAACAAAAATGAGTTATAAAAGGCCAAAACTTATAATAAAGCTTTTTTTATCATTTAATTTTATCTATTGTAAGTATTCAAATTTATGAAAACTTTTCGAAATAAATGGATTTAAGTTCAAATAAATTTTCACCCGAAAGGTTTTAAAATATATATTTTAGAATTTTAGAAAAAACGATATTTTAATTTACTTAAAATAAACCGTATTGTTTATAGATGTATACATACATACTGTATTATAATAAATTATATAAACATGATTAATAATTTTATAAAATTAATTATTTCAAGTACCAAGAATGAATGAAAATCATTTAAACTATAAATGTTGTATATATTTATTGACCAATAATAAGAGCAAGTAGTCCAAAAAATTTATAATTATGTAAATTTAAAAAGTTTATTTATTGTCATAATTCGGCTTTCGACGATGAATGCTTATTTTTAAGATCGAAAAGAAAATTAATAATCCACCCGACAATAAGATATCAAACTTCAATAATAAACGTTTATTAAAATAAGATATTAACTTTTAAGTGGCGGCCTCGGTATCACGAAGATAATTCGAGTCTATGTAATGTACACGTTTCAAATATCCTTTTTGTAATTACACAATATAAATTTAAAATTAGCTGCTTTGGACTATTTAAGTTAAATATTACTTGAACATTAATTTCAATGTTACTTACTGCATTCGTCGAGTATATCGCTTTCGCCATCTCTTTCACGCGTCTGCCTAACTCTTTTCACATGACCGCTACTCTCTCCATCCGCTTGTTTCATACCCGAGAGTTATCCTTTGGATCTGTCGCAACAGCGCTCCGGGAGTCAGCAACAACTAAGGATATCCAACGGTGCCATGTCGCGGCTCTGCTGCTATTGGCTCTGCCCTTACTCGGATGGCCGGGGCGAGAGCGGATCCCCGAGCTCCGGGGGCTCGGTCGACGACGAGGGTGGCGGCAGCCTGAGCATCACCTCGGCGATCTCCGCCTTACTGTCCTTCATCGTTGTGGCGATCGCGGTATCGACCGGCCAGTGGCTGCTTACCGAGGAGAAGCTTCCGAGGCTCGTCCAGCATCTGGCCAACGCCAGTACCGAGCCGGACATCAAGCTCACCTATAGCGGACTTTGGAGGGTTTGCGTGGCTGTTGGTAAGTACGTTGGTCGCTTTTCAAGGACGAAAGCATGAAAGTGGGGTAGTCAGCGATCTCGAGGATGGTTCGAAGTTGAAGGGATGTTCGAACGAAGCACGCGATGACAGTTGAAGTTTGAGGCTTCGTTATGGAGTTCGTTAAACGAATCGACACCCACGCGACACTTGGCTAATTACTTTCCGTTACGCTAAGCAGTCGTTATCTAATTTACCTATTAAATTTTTACTTGCGATCATTTCGATAGAAAGTGAAATATCATTTTTCAATGTACAATAATAGTTATTTTTAGGAGGTGACTGATTTATAGTTGGCCATAATAAAACGAATATATTCAAGCATTTTTAAATTATTCGTTGTATCGTTACTCTATTCATTGATTCAATAATGATATTCGGCAACTGTTAAGATAATTTTTTACACCTTTTGCAATTATACTTCACGAGTAATGAGCATGCACAACTAATCTTTATAATAACAATTTGTTTTATTCTCTAAGTGGTTTATAAAAGACATAAAGACAATTTTCATTTTGCAAATATCACACTTACCACAAACTAAAAATAACAAAAATTTAATACAATTAAGAACATTAATGTTACTTCGATATATAATTCGTTTTAAATTTCATGAACGTATAGTAAAAATTTTATGAATCTCTATGAAATTCGATATGGCTCTCTATTTTATTTTTGTTTAATTTAAAGCAAAATTTCAAATGACTGTTTTAGAAAATATATATATGTAATTTCTATATGTGCGCTTTCTGCGGATGCATACTTTTAAAAATACGGTTATATAATTCGTACAAAATATCGATTATGAAAACTCACCAAAGACAATAGTTATAAACAAAATATATATATATATATATATAGAAATTCGCACGTCTGTATTAAATACAATTATTAAATATTTAACTCATTGTTCAGGTCATTAAAAATGTATTATTTCATGACTGTGAATTACATATGCGACATACGTATTAATTAATGTAACTTCAAATGTATTATAACTATTGTTAATAAGTATATTAGTAAGCATATATACTTTATTCGTTATTGAAATTATCATTATTAATCAGTCAATATACAATCAACAATACCAAGTTAATAAAAACAAATAAATAATTTTCTACTTTACTTTACTAAATATTGTATTTTTATTATAGTTAATTTACATTATCATTTATTGGACGTATATTGTCTCAAGAGCATAAATAAAATAAGTGAAAATCTAAAGATATTTATATTCTCTGACTCGTACATAGTTTATTATTAACAAATATTGTGATCAAATTTTTAATATATTTCTTCTAATTATTAATTTATTGTTTCAATTCTTTCGATAACAACATTTTTGAATCGCAATAATTTTCTATAATAGAATATGGATTTTTTAAACATTTTTCTATTTCTATTCAATTGTTATTGTTTTCCTCTATACATAATAGCTTCTAACATCTATACCTACTAATTTCCATAATTTGTTTATAAATATATATAAACAATCATATATTACCACCATATCACTAATTCCATATCCTTAATATATATAACCTGTGTTTAAATATATAAAAAAACGAATTAATAAAGATGAAATATTACGTATCGTAAAGCACACAATTTTTAAAATGATAACAGTAATAATGATTATGCATACAGTTTTTTTTTTTACAAGTATATGTTGTACAACAAATTTAATAATAACTGGATTCATTTATTTCTACAAATTCATTAGCTCACTCAAATATGAAATCTAGATTAATATAAAAAAATCCACAATATGTATGTCGGAATATATAACATACATTTTCATGAATACACTTGAAAAAGTTACGTTATTTGTAAAATTAAATTTTCTTTACCATTTTTATCCGATTTACTATGATGAAAGAATTGGTTACTGAGCTTCTCCAAAGCTTCTAAAAATAATAAGATATCTCTAAAGAAGTATAATTTGTTTTGTCTATAATTTAACAAACAATTCGCAGTTACATAACTTCAGACGCAGAAATAATTTGTATCAAAGTATTCGTGGTTGAAAAGTAAAAAGTTTCGGTAATGTGAAACGTAACAGTTTCCTGAAACTTGTTGACTCGATGACGAAGATTGTAATATCTTAGCATTCGGCATCTAATATTAATTTTCAACATAATTTAAGCTGTCTGTCTTCGCGCGTGTCACACATCGACTCTAAACTCGAAAACAAAACTATCGTCCCTACCTTGTCATACTTAAAATCCTAAAACTTGCACTACTTCTAAATAACGAATCTATTTTTTGTGATATCAATTAATTGCTCCTATTAATATGGAGTAGATAACTCCAATCCTTCTATTCGGATTAAATCTCTCAGCAATCTATATGCAATCTTATTTATCATAATCGCATTCCGAACGATGTAGTTTGAGTAACCTAAATGAGTTATGAGTTTTCAGTTCACTCACGGGCTCCAAATCATTCTACTGTAATCGCGATGAGTGAAGTAAGCTCTTATCGACTTCAAGGTATCTAATGTCTCGTACCTTCATTTATTTGTCAGCTTTAATCTACAAGATGTCGGCATAATCAAACCGCCTAGGATAAACTGCTATGACTTCATCGTCATTAATCTCGTTGATCCCGATAAAGCTGCAAGCTCGCTGAAAGCTCTTCAGTCACAATACACGATTGTTCCACAAGTCATGAGCTCATTAGATGTTTTTACAGTTAGGGAGAGATATAGTATATATATTTTTTGTGTGCGTGTGCGTGCGTGCGTGCGTGCGTGCGTGCGTGCGTGTGTGTGTGTGCTTTCAGTTATTAATATCAATAGAATTTCAATTTAATACATTTTATTTTTAATTTAATATGTAAATTCAATTTCAACTAGTTATTCCATTTAGCATCCATTTCTAATAAATACCTAAACCGTCATTTAAAATTTGAATGTAATAAATGTAAATTCTTCAATATATATGCACATACTAAAATTCCAAAAAGAATATCTTTTCATTCTGATATATTGAAAAAGATGTAAAAATAGGATATGCGTTTAGTTTTCACTCATCGATATTCTTTCACCTAATACGATAAAAATCAATTTACTTCATTTAGTTACTACAATGATAATATTGGACTTATAAGCATGATGAGACATACTATTGATTATTAAAAGTTCTTCGATCTAGCGGTTAACCATTTTCATTAAATAAAGTTGCAAGAGACGATATCTCGAATACTGTTATTGCATAATAATAATACAATAATTGTATAATGGCTATTAAAGTTATAAATACTAGGTAGAATTATTGAAAGATTTTTTTTCAGTAAACAAAACGTATTTTATGTGTTTATGATGTAAAAGATCTTTACAGGTAATTTACAGGTTATATATTAAAAATATATTTAAAATTTAATAATAAAGTCATAAAATTCAAAATAATCATATTTATTATTATCAAGTAGTAAAAAAATTATCTCGTAGAATTATTTTATTCAAATGGTATAATCATTTGAATGACTTGATTATGGTAATTTTTTATTTATTAATTTTAATACGAGTATGTTAATTTTTAATCTCATAATGACTCCTAAGTGTATAAATCAAAAATTTATTTATATAAATTTATTCTATATTATTTATATTATTTATTATAATATATATATGTATATAAAAAATTTAGTTTTCTAACCTTTGAGTATTATAAAATAAATATCTTTAGTTCAATTAATTATATTTTTAATGCAATATTGTTATAGCTTAAGTAAAACGTTAAAATTAAACAAGAAATAAATTTATTAAAATGCTCAGTTTAAAAGTTATTTATATTCAGATAACGTATATACATATTTAATTAATAATGAGAGAAAATTATTGTTATTCATCAATATGTATTATATATTGATGGGTTTGTTGTTGGGTTGTTTTTGGGTACTTACAAATTGCATGATATAAATATTACTTTTATCAATGTTTGTTTAACACTTCTTTTTACACTCAATTTTGAAAATGATTGAATTTCCAATGTTTAATGTTTTTCACCATTATATTAAGAGATAAAGTATTGTTAATCCCTCGGCATAAAAAGGATATTATTTTAAGTTTCATTCAAGCATCAATCGCTAGTTGGAATATTGTAACAATTTAATGAAATCAAATTAATCGTCACAAACGCAAATAAGTTGGCAGCTTAAAAGTATCCTTTTACTTTAACTGAATTTGCAAAGATTTTCACTCTTATAATGCATTATATATGTATATACAATGCAAAATTCGAATATTGGATCTATTATATACAAAAGTATGATTATACAAGGAAAATAATGCGAAATTATATTTTTTTGTTATTTTTCCCAATAAATTGATGAAGATTATCAGTACATGTTTTTATCAAATGTATACATTAAATTTATAATAATCTTTAAAATATTTGTTTTATACGTTCATAAGTGTATATGATAAGACAATTTAATCTATCCAAGAACAATAATAAAATAATTTACGATTGTGCTAAAGAAAAATCTTTTCAGTGCACGAAATATCTGAGAAATATAACAAAAATGATAAATAATCATGCACAATCTATCTGTTTGTTTTGCCAATACGAAATAATCGCAATATTGTATACAGATTTCCAGTTATTTGCGGTAGACTCCATATGACAAACTACCTAGCCAGCGTATTGCTTTATTTTACTTGATGATAAAATCCAGTAACATGCGTCCCGGCAATTCGCCAAAATAAAATAACTCGAAATCCAGAAAATCGCACGCTCGCTATATGGAAATTGGGCGAAATAAGTTGAAAATCGAGTACAGCTGCATATCGAGTAAACAAAAATTCGATTAAGAAAATATATAAATTAAGATTCAATCGACGACATTCGCAATCATAGGGTTGCTACGAAGGGAGCTACCGATTTGCCTGACATCCACGGAAAATCAAGCTGCCCTGATGGTACTATCGAAAGGCGGAGATCGTAGCTCACCCAGTCACTTCCGTCACGTTTCCTACCGGATATGAGTATTCCACGCTCGCCAATCTTCGACTCCGCCTATCGATTCCCTCGTACCCCCCCCTGCCCCCTCCGCCTCCGCAATCTCACTCACTCTTTCTCCCTCTCTCTCTCTCTCTCTCTCTCTCTCTCTCTCGGCTTTCGCCGGCTCACTTCTCTCTAACTATTTATTCCTTTCCTACACCGCCGTTTCTATATATTTAAACACGTATACTGTAGTTATTGCACCTCAATTTAAATGCTCGGAATTATCAGAAATTGATTTGATGATCATAAAAAGGCAAGAATTTTTCACATTGATTGCATCTACAATTTTTATCTTTCTACGTTATTCGTATACTACGGGGTTAAAAAAAAAACTCCGTTTCACATATGCCATAAATACACCATAAATTGTATATTTGGAATTTTTATATTATATTACATTGCATTTGAATGTATTAGTCGAATGAATACATTGAGTACAATTAAACAATACGATAAAATCTTTGGATAAATAAATATATATACATATATAATTTAATAATATGAAATCTTACAAATTGAAGTGAATTTTAAGTGAACGTAAAGTAATTTAATTACAAACATCTCTGTGTTTATGACACATCGTATTTTATACCAAAAGAACATAAAATATCAATTTATATTTCTATAAAGACTTTCTTTTCTCGATTAATTTTAATATAAACAACTGCGTTTCTTAATTTTGACTAACGAACATGTTTAAACATATTCTTAGGAATGAGCGATCATTTATTACATAAAACGAAGCAAAGGAAAGATTATTTAGTATCGATATATATTACACGGTTTGATTTATGAAAATATCAATAAAAAAATCATAAACATATAAATATACGTATATATCTACGAAAATATTTTTAAAAAACTTAATAAATATCTAGATACAATTTTTCCAACTATCCTGTTTCTCTATCAAACACAAATAATAACGATTAAAAATTCTTTCATTATGATTAATCCGCTTAATTTAAAAGCTATGTATCATCAATTATAAATAATTGACAAATAGATATTAGCGAATTATCCAGTATTGCCGAAGCTTCTTTAGGTATTATTGAATTTTGTAAAATACCCCTTATTGCGAAGCTTAAAATTATTTTTTCAATGAGAAGCCCACGAAAGTCCGACCTTTCTATATAAACAGAATACTTAACGCATCCGATACAATTTAGATGAAGTTATTGAAGCTATAGAATACGTTGTATCGTGTAATATTGAATAGGCAGGGCGCATAACTCATTTCCATAACGCTTAGTTTCCGAGATAAATATTATATAACATTTTAACGACCACTATGTACGGGAATTTGTATATAAATAGCACTTAATTGAAGCTATAATTGTATATAAAATAAAAGAGTCACTTCTACCTACTGCTTTATTCGATTTTGTCAAACACGTAACACAATGTGCACAAGTATTATAAATATTTATAAATAATTGAAAAGTTAAAAAACATCTTGGTATGTATGAAGATCGTTAAAGCGAATAAATAGCTTTTTTTCTCAATATTTGGATACGTATTTAGTCGCTCAAAGGTAATAATAATCAAATTAATGTATCGATAAATATCGATGATATGATCCCTTATAGCTAATACATCTAATATATTCGATATGTTAAACGTAAATAAGCTTTGTATCTCAGTCACTTAAAGAAATTGAAGTAATATTATCGAAAGCTAAGAAAAAAGAGAGAAAAAAGGGAAAGGCTTTTTATTTCAGTTGTAGTGGAAAAGAATGAAATATTTATTTATGGAATAATTTTCTCTCCGTTGTATCCCATTAAACATTATTTTAAATATTTCACTTGGATTTATTATTCTCATTTATTATAAATATCAAATTATATTCTTAAGTATTACTGACTTGCATTAGCCATAAAATTACAAATGCCCAGCTTATCATCTAAACATTATAATCTTTGATTTTATAAATTAAATGCAATAAATATTACACAAGCTCTCTAAATTAAGTTTATCAATAAATATTGCTTGACAAAGTAGTCCGATAATATTGTATTATATTTATTATGCATTGTCAGCTAAAAGGACAAGTACGGAGCATGAAAAGGCATTGGAATTAAGTAATCGTTAAGATTTGCACGGAATAACTGGCGAAAATACGTACCCCTTATAATTTCACTCCCTCTCCACCTCGCCTTCTCCCACCTGCTTTTCCTCCCTTAATGCCGGGGAATCTGTATTTAACTTCGAATTGCGATGCGCTGAATGTCGAGCGGACGTTCGTGCGACCGCTTAACTAATTCTCGATCTCGAATTGCCATTCGCCCTCAATTTTCCCGCGACGTAATACCGTTGCCATTGCCAACATCGCTGCAAACCTATGCCTGAGGACATTACCGCTCTTACTTCGCAACAAGAGCGACCGGAGGAATTTGTTGCAGAGTAATCACTGAAGAAGCCTGCGCCGAGTGCTTACAGGCAATTTTATTCCCTTCACCGCCATTAACGTAGTTTGTTTGCTTCTCTCCATGCTGTCTCCTTTTTCCTTCTTTCTCTCACTCTCTCACTCTCTCACTCTCTCGCTCTCTCACTCTCTCACTCTCTCACTCTCACTCTCACACCCTACCACTCTTTGCTTGAAAATTGGATCGGTGTAAAACAAATTATCGTTGCGTTGTTGCGCTGTCGTTACATTTGAGTGCTCCTGATAAAATCCCGATTTTGGCTTTTATCAATTTATCCTAGATAATCAATTGAATTATTTTTAAAACTAATTTTTTTATACAGTATATTACGATATTCATCTTGTAATTTAATTTATATATGACGTGCCATATAAATAATATAAAACATTTATAAAAATTTGAGTTTGATAACTTTTGTTTTTCCATTTTTCGATTTTATAGATGTGTAGATAATTTTAATAATTATAAACATTAAAAATAAATATGTATTTATGGTAAATAGTCATTTTGATTGTTTTTTGTTTTCAAGCTTAGCAGCACAACGATACACAGTTTACAAATTCTACAATTGTTTGAAATTAATCAGCGTTCATGCTGAAAACTTTTGAAAGCAAAGACAATAAAAACAGCATTTCAAGAAAAATACGTTTACAGTTATAGTTTATACCGCATAAGCAAATGCAAGTTTAATGCTTAGATTTTTTTATTTTTTTTTAGTTACCGAATCAATAGATTTATCAATTTTTATACAAACTCAACATCGATATAGTCACAAAGATAGTTTCTCCCAACAAATTAATAAGATTCAATTTTAATATAGGATATTGCTCCAATTGTTAAATTGTTATATTAAATAAATGAATTTGCCATTAAAGTAAATTTAATTTTAATAAATTATTTAATATTACATTAATTCCCACCACACGGACAATAATTATATAGTTTAAATTTTGTAGAAACACAAACTTTTTTCATATGCAACTCAATTATAAATTTAGTTAAAACATATATTAAATTAAATCTCATTATATTAAAAATAATTATGTAGAATTATTTATGATACGTAAAAAATGAGTTAATTTAATACGTAAATTAATATTTTTAAACAAAGTCAATATCAAATTGTAATAAGTATATTTTAGTGAAAACTAGTGCCAGATTCATATCTGACAAGCTCATACTAAAACTAAAGTTACTGAATTTATCGAATACATGTTGAATCCACGCTACTTCTATTTGAGCGATACTCCGGTAGTTGTTGGATTGCTTGGAAACAGGTTTCGTTGAAAAAGAAAAAAAAAAGAAAATAAAATAAAATAATAAAGTTCTACTCCAGAATCAGCAGCATTTATATCGACCTAATTTTTTACAATTCAATTTGCTAGGCTATTAAAAGCACGGAGCTTACAACTTTCTAACATACAGAAATAATGGCTGGCTTCTCTTATATAAAACATTTTTATTTTCAGCGTAAGAAACAAATGAATGTGTCCGCTTGATCTCAAATATTCCATGCACAAAAAAAGCGAATAGTTAATCTCGCGCCAATCACCGAAAGTCGCGGATAGAAAGCCGGGATGAAATATAGGGTCGAGAAAGGCAAAAAAAAAAAAAAAAAAGAAAAAGAAAAGAAAAGAAAAGAAAAATAAAATAAAAAGGACGATGGTAAAACGAGGTAAAGTGAAACGTTCACTCGATATTACCATTCTCGGCCCCTAATGTACCAGCCACCAATATGCTCACGAAACAGAGAAATCAGCCTCGTCTCCAACATAAATCCAAACGTCGAAGGCTCGCAAGCCAGCAAGGTCAAAACTTTGTCAGTCCGTCCGCTCGTGTAGTCGCGCGTGTCAACAATGACAACTTTAAAATCGGCGGGCAAATATGAGGAGGAGATGTATAATGCGCGTCTTGAATAAACGTTTCTCTGTTTCAGGCTCGAACGCGGAATACGAATGCTCGACTATCGATTACTTCCCGCAGGAGGAGTACAGCCCAGATCCGAGTGACTCGACCATGGCAATACCGTGTAAGTGCTTATCTCTCTCTCTCTCTCTCTCTCTCTCTCTCTCTCTCTCTCTCTCACTCTATCTATCTCTCACTCTATCTATCTCTATCTCTATCTATATATATATATATATATATATATATATATATATATATATCTCACTCGTATACTAGTCATCCTCCTCCTTTGCTTGTTCAATTGAAAAATTAAGCCGTACGACTCCTGTCGAAGCGAGCACGTTTACCCATGTTAGAAAATGTCATTGCGCGCTCCCTGGAAGACGAAGTGTTTCCCAGTTATATGTCCTTTTTTACAGCCCGAGGCGGCCCGAAGCGAAATATCGTCCTGCTTTTAAACACCTTCAATGTCTCCTACTGCTTCCCGACTAACTCCCGATTGCCCTTCGGCCCTTTATTTCATTTTCACATTCGTTTTATGTGCGCGCAGATGCGGTGACGAAGTCCGCCGTCTTCTTCCTGGCAGCTACGGCGCTCCTCGTAATCGCCGAAGTCTGTTACTTGGCAGGTCATCTGGCACGGCCCAAGCCCAGCCTCTGCGTCTTCATAGCCGGCGTCATTTTAATCATTTCTGGTAAGGTACACGTACCGTACATTTATCTCTACCGCGGCTCTGTTCCTTTACAATGATATAGCGAGCGAAATATGAGGGGGAAGGAAACTAAGTTCAACTAAGAGTCAAAAGAGATGAAACGATGATAATTTCGAGCACGAATGCAATTTGATGATCTATTTTTTCGGAAAATTATAACAGCATTATTGTTAATTAGAAGAAGGAATAATTTAATTCGTCTATCTTTCATAACTTTAAAGGCTTAACAAATCCCAATCTGTCTGGCATTTAAATTATTCAATAGTACATACAACAATGATTTAATAATTTATGATTATTAAATGTTTGTTTATTATTATACATAATACACATATATAAATATATATCGAGTAACTAATACATTTTTATTAATAAATATGGTGCAAATTTGTTTACAATTTATTGATAAAAATAACAATACTTAATAAGAAATATGAACAATCAAAGTAGTAATATCTTGAATATGTCAGGCTGGCATTAACGTTCACCGATATAATCATAATTTCCAACCAGTCGTAATTAAATTTCAAAAAATAATATTAATTTAAATTTAAATTTTCTTTTTGTTATAAGTTTTTTCTTATTCTGAAATTATATATATATATATATATATATATATATATATATATATGTGTGTCTGTAAAGTTTCTTTGCACACTCGTGTATTTATATAATAAGAAATATGAACAATCAAAGTAGTAATATCTTGAATATGTCAGGCTGGCATTAACGTTCACCGATATAATCATAATTTCCAACCAGTCGTAATTAAATTTCAAAAAATAATATTAATTTAAATTTAAATTTTCTTTTTGTTATAAGTTTTTTCTTATTCTGAAATTATATATATATATATATATATATATATATATATATATATGTTTGGCTGTAAAGTTTCTTTGCATACTCGTGTATTTATATCATATTTCTATTATAAATATCGATGACAATGTATTTTAAAGGTTTATTATTAATCAACCCTAAAAATTATTTCAAAGAAAATTCTAAAAATGTCAATGATATTTATTTATTTTAATATATTGAAAATAATACATAGTGAAATGATAATCTGTATATTCATTGTTCAAAATTTTCAAATAATAAAACTTGATATTGTTATTGAGCATTAGGAAGAAAAATCATCAAATTAAAAAAAAAATTTAATACAACTACAATATTAATTATTTTTCAAAAAAGTTTATAATTCAACAAAATAGCATCATTAATGAAAAAGAAGGGTTATTTTCAAAATTTAAAATAATCTATTGAATTATTATGATTTGAGAACACTACTACAATTATATTGAATATTTATAAATAATTTTTTAGTATAAAAGGCTATTCTTGTAAATTAATTTTACTAGAAATATACTTTTACACTATTATATATAGAGTACCAATAGCAATATTATATCTTTTCATATAAACTAAAAGCTTAACACGCACACTCATATTTTCTCGAAGGTTTTCAATACTAATCGCAATGTGTAAAATGAAATAGAAAAGACAAGCCGATCTATATTGCTTTCTCGTACCTATTATACTCACTATTTTATATTTATTTAATTTAAGTCTTCCCTTCACCATCCCCACCCCAATCCAACCAACCAAATAAAATAAAATAAAAGCAAAATTTCTATTTTCTGTGCTTACATGTTTATGCATTTTAGGTCTTTTGATGCTCGTGGGCATGATTATGTATATATCTATATTCAAAGCTGAGGTAGGCAGTAAACTCCGACCTCGCTCATCGTTTCAAGTGAGTACAAAAAATTAATAATAAATGGCCATTCCGTAGTGAAAATAAGATGTTCATTATTAATTAGAAGGAGCGATGTGTTCTGCGTTTAAAATGTGAAAAAAGCGAATAAGAAGAAAACGTATTTTCTAAACTGAGATTTTTAGAATTTATAAAATCTTGTTAAAATCAAAGATAAAAATATCTATGTCTTTGTTAGATTTGCTTAAATTAATTTAGTATGCTACTATCTATAAAAAAGTTAATGTAAAACTTGTATTAATATATACAATGGGATACGAAGTGATATAATTTAATCTAGTAACAAACTTATGTATATATATATATATTTAATATACATATTTAAAATTATAAATAATTTATTTGAATCAAGGTATTTTTAGTTAAATAATTCATCTTTTAAACTTAATATCAAGTCAAATATATATCTTCTTACGCATAAAAATAATTATTCTTCTGTCATTCAACTATTTTTATTATAAACTACATTAATTTAAAATGATAAAATTTTATCATTCTTATTGAGATTTCTTAATTTACTTTTAGTATCGACAGTTTAATTTTTAATAAAGATATAAATAAATAATAAACATAAAAAATAAATTAATAAATGAATTCTTGAAGATCATAAGTACATAATTTAAATTTATTTAATCCAATTGTTTAAAATAATTTCCTTTACACTACACTTCACTTTACTTATCCTCTTGTGTACACTTTTAGTAAAAACATAACGTATGTCTCAAATAATCTTGGATTTAATAATGTAATTGAAGATAAATTAGTATAAAATAATTCATCAAGTACTTGGAAGTTTTTATAATATATTTTGCTATCATTATTAATTATTCATCTTATATTAGAAGAAAGGAATTAATTTTTTGAAATTCTAAAATATTTCACTAGGACGTGTAATTAAAAGTAAAATATATTATTAAATGACATGGACTTTAATATTTTCTTTGTTTCTATTTTCACAATAGACTTATTGAAATATCTAAAAGGTAGGGAATGCAATTTATATTATGAAATATCTAATATGCGAAACATATAATTCCAGCTTTTCAGAATCATTTTCCCTATTATATAAGTTACATGGAGTAAAAAAATTATTAAAAACATTGGAATGAATATTTTTGTCATTTTCAAAGAAATCAAGTTCAAATATTATTATATTAAACGAACGTCCATAAGGCTATGATTAAAGTTGTACGCTTAATGAATCTTTTTAATACTTCTATGGCCAATTTTTAGCATTTTATCTCAACATTAATCAAACGTCAAAGTAACAAATGGCATAAAACACTACCTCGTTAGCAATAAACGGACAAGCTTTTAAACTAAAGTAGTAAGTCTATGTATTTTAACAAAAAGCGGTAGTGGTATAAAAGCGAGTAGTGAGTCGACTATAAAGCTGTGAGTTTCCAAACAAAATGAAAAAGATATAGAGAAGGAGGAAGATAGATAGATGGATAGATATATATATATATATATATATAGAGAGAGAGAGAGAGAGAGAGAGAGAGAGAGAGAGAGAGATTTACCTGAACACGTAGAACTCATTTAGATTAAACTAGAAAATTCGTAGTAGGTGATTTCAGCTTTTCTTGCTTATGGTAAAAAAAAAATAAAAGCTTGAAGCCAACCTTAGGTTGTACGAAGCCTATTATACATGTAATACATTCATTACTCAATTTTCTTTTAGCCTTTAGCCTCGCGCAAGTAATTTATTTCCGTAGTCTTCGCGAATTAGAATTATCTAGCTCAATATATCACTTTCTTATTAGTTTCTTTATACATTCATAATTGATAAATTAATTTGATAACTATTTTTCTATCGGAAAAATTGACCATTAAAATTATTACCCTTATCGTTAAAGTCATGAAAGTATTTTTAAAGATAATCCGTGATTTAAGATGAGATTACGAATTATATGGTTTTCTAAAACTAACGAAATTAATGACCTGTTAATATAAATATAATTAAAAAGTTCTAAATTTGATAATTAATGTAAAAATTTTATCATTATAAATAATTTTGGCAAATTGCAATAAAATGTATCGAGGCATTACTTTTAATTATAACATTGATTTTAGTTTGTTTTTATCTTACAATAATTTTTATTTTGTTCTAATCACTTTTAACGATTTCACCATGTCTTATGATGGTTGAAGTGTTCTAATATAAAGAAGATATAAAAATATTATATACCAAGTATAGGATATATTATTTATGTACAGCACTTACGTTCTCAAGATAATTATTAATAATTAAATGCTATAATCACTTTAATGATCTATCAATGCATACAAAATTATTAAATTCGATTATATATTTAATATATACCATCTAAAATCTTTCTTGTATAATGTAATTAATTTATATTTAGAGGCGAACTTTTGAGTTACAGTTACTTTAAATATTATACGAAATTAAATATATAATGTTTATTATTTATCTACTATCTTTAATATACACTCATACACTGCACTAACACACACACATACACACACACACACACACACACATGCATAAGTACACATTTGTGTGAGTACATACGTATATGCACTATAAATAGCAACTTTATTAAAAGACAAATACACTTTATTTTAACAATATACTAGTGAATATTCTATTTTTATAATGTAAATAGAGATTTTGTATCAGATGTTGACTTTTTTATATCTAAAAATAGTATATCTGGAACGAAAAATCGAACGCTTATAAAAGCTGTTCAAGTTTAAGAAAATATTATGTAATTTTACCGGATATAAAAAAAAAATGCATTATAGATAAAATTCTTTGTAATATTTATATAAAAGAATTTAAATTCATTATATCTTCAGCTATGAACATATTTTTATCTAAAATATCATCCGAGACTGACAAATATTGTGCAAAAATTTAATATAAAAAATTCTAAAAATTGTTCTTTAAAATTTTTGAATCGAAATAAATTATTTATTTATATTATGTTTCTCTATTGAAACAAAAATTCTTTTACAACGCAGTGAATATCGATTCAATATAAGAAGCATTAATTTTCTTTAAGATACTTTTATTATTATTATAATTATGAGAATATATAATTTTTTTAACTATTTATTTAACTACTAGATTGTTTAATTACTAGATTGTTACGCAGTAGAGCATGAAATATATTAGTTTTTATGGAAAATTATCTGAACTGCAGTATGTTATAACATTCTCGATATTATGCTCTTTGAAAATATTATATTCTCAAGCTTAGTTTAGCACGTTCCTGGATTAAGGACACAATTTTTCATACATTTATCCAACACGATTGAATGATATTTATATTTATATTCGTAAATAAAATTTAAAGTTTAAAAACCTGTGGTTTTACATGCTTTCAGGGCCCACCGTTCGTCTATCGCTACGGCTACTCATTTTTACTATATGTCAGCGGCTTTATTACCACGGAGTTTGCCGGCACCACTGCCATTTTTCTCCACATCTCTTGGCAGCAACTCGAGCTCATCCGCGAGTGCTCCAAGCGCAAATATCAAAGCGTAAGTATTGGGGGCAAATATTCAAACCAAACGGATCGCTTTATTCTTGCATATTCGGCTTCAAGTGCTTATCCAGCGATATTTTTCACTACCAGTACTAATAGCATTGCACTTGAGCAGAATTTCAGAATACATCGTTAAGCTTGTCATTACGTTAATTACGCGACGTCCCGACGAACTTAATCGTAAGCGAATGTCAACTGAGTCAATTGAATACTCATCTTCAACGCAGCGGCTTAACTTAAAAAAAAAAAACCTTCAGAAATCAGAAAAAATGATTATACGTATTTCTAATGAGTTTCGAAACATTGGAAAAGATGATATTTTCACTGTAAATGCTACTAATTAGAAAAACTTGGATTTTCAAGATTCTTTAATTACTTGTTATATTCGAAGCTGACTAATTAATCTTCTCCGTTAAAGCGACTTGAGTTTTCGTTAACACATTATAAACATTATTAATAAGCGCGCGCGTGCATACACATGGAAGCGCCCGCGCAATTACAAGACTGATAGTGATTTTATAAGAAAGTGTAATTTATATAAATAAACTGTATAAACATAATTTACAGTGCTATATTGATTTAAATAAACACAAGTAAATGAAAATAGTATAGCGATTACATCATTATCTATTAAAGTTTGTAATAAATTACTTTAAAAGAATACAAATTACCAATATCAGCAAATAGAACTGGCTTACACTTTACATTGGCTTATCTTTTATCAAAGATCAATGAACTACCCTTTCTCAGCTCTCTACATACAAATTCGTAACTTTAAATCAATTAAAAACTTAGTTTTTTTTAATTTATCACTCAACGAAGTAAAGTTTTACTACGAGATATAGACTAAATATACTCACCATTAGAGAATGTCACTCATGCAGAGTTCATATTATAATATGTGAATATTAGATAATAGAATTTGAAATTCGTCGTTAGTCGTCAAATGACTAGTATTTTCTTTGCATTCTTATTGGAAAATTAAATTTGTCAACTATATTATAAAATATTTATTTACGAAATAGCAGTAAATTTGTCAATTACAATTTGTAGACTTAATATGGATGAATTATTGATTCTTAATATAAAACTACATTAAAATTACAAATTAATTTCAAATTACGTTTTAAATAATTAGAACGTACTAAAAAAAAAAAAAAAAAAAACTTTTTAATGCAAATTTAATGGGAAAATGTCTAATATTTCTAATTAATATGAGAAAATGTTCTTACATGCTATGAATTCATGAGGAAAGTGAATATTATACTTAAAGACATATCTAATATCTAATATCTAGAGAACAATGTCATAAAAAAGAATATTACTTTTGAAAAAATTAACTTTTTTTAACTGTTAGATTCATAGAGAGTAAAATAAATGAAAAAAAATTCGTTTATTTCTTTGTTTGAAGAGATGTGACAAAAGCAGTTACTAAAGTTTTTAAAACTGCCTTTTGTTATTAAAAATATACCATTTCTCGATTAACTTTCAGTTAAATAGTTTTAAATTATCATTCAATCAAAATTCATTATCTTTGGCTTCTCAATTGATTCGTCATTGTTACATTATATATGATATTATATTATTATATTATATTATATTACATACTAAAATATAATAATTAAAAATACAATGTGTTTTAATATAAATTCACACATGTACACATTATAATGAATTTAAATGTCCAATTTATTTCATCTAAATTTTTCGGTTATAAGACATTTTGAAGTTTTATACTTGGAATACTTATGTTTAATTAGGCCAAAAAAAATATATTAAGATAAGCTTTATTATATGAGTTCTTATTAAAGGAAACATTTTTTTTTTCTTTTTTTTTTTTTTTTTTGTAACAATTATAATGTATAACAAGATCCAATCTAGCTTGTTATTTTAGTCAGTTTTCTCAATTTAAACTAAAGCCTTAAATAAATAAATAATACGTATTTAATGGATTTCAACAAGATATTACAGAAATCGATATCATAATTCTAAATCGCCTTTACCTGACTTATAAATATTTTTCTTACTCCAGCTTACTATTCATCATACTAGTGATTCTATTTTGTTCAGTGCTATTGCTTGTTTTTGTTGTTTGTTGTTATTTTTGCTTGCTCATTGGTATCGGTTGACTTTAAAATAACATTATTAATATCGTAACCACTAGTTTCAAGTAAATATTATCTTAAAAATTACATAAAGAGCGTTGCATTTTCCAATTTGTGACAAATAGTCGCAAGCAGTAATAATTTTAACGAGACGTCAAGATTGTTCTAATAATAAATCGCATGTAAAAAGAAAGCGGAGGAGTGGCAATCGGCAATTAATATCTCTTAAGTTAATACAATACTATACCTGCGAGGGTAAAAAATTACTTTCGTTATCGCATCGCGTATCTCTTCGCGTCCCAATATTAATCGAATTACTCTCGTCATTATCAGAGGAACGCCTGCCACCTGGACAATCATCACGTGCACGCAACGACGAACAACGTATACGGGAGCTTTCACCTGTGCGAGCGCCACCAAAAGAAGTACTTTTGCGAGCGCGAGACAATCGATCCCCATCACCATCATCGCCGTCACCATCATCATCACCACCACCACCACCACCTCGAGTACGAGGAATATTTACCGACGCCGCCCGACTGCAATCACTATCACCCGGGCATGACGCACGATTTGACTACCGAAACGGTGTGTAGCCTAGATTCAACGCCTCGTTAAAAGAAAAGAAGGGGGGGGGGGGAAAGGAGGGGAAAAAAGAAACGAGAAGCGAGGCGGAAAACGATAGTGCTCGTGTAAAGAGCCCCGCAAAAGCGATTCAGCTCTTTTCATCCATTTGCGCGCGATTAGCATTGTAAGCGGCCCGCGCTGAGCCCTCATTTATTTTTAATATTGCGATATATACAGGCCATTTCTAACAATTACGTGCACTCGCGCCGTTAGCTATTAACAATTTTCTGGCCAAAATTGGCCAGCTTAATGTCGGTTATTCGGCAAGAGTTAAAATATTTTAATGACGGGGTAATCGACCATTCTCCTGACAATAATCATTTACCTCTCCTGCAATTCTAAACTAATGTGGGGTTTCGTTAGCTGCTGCTTTGTTGCTACATTTCGCCCGATGATAAATTAACTCGCATATGCCGAGTGTATTAATTCGGCCGTGGAAGCGGTTAAAAAAAAGAAAAAAGAAAAAAAAACATTTAACAGCGAAATCGACAATTTGGCAAATTCACATTGACGTAATTTGTTGTTGGCAAAGCGTTGAAAAATAAATTACAAATTAGCCATCCAAACAACATTATCTCGTTAAATATAATTAGCCATTACGTACAAATACCCTTATTATCCAAATAACCGCGCTTCTTTGCAAAATATTATTTATGCATTTGGCAATTTTCAGGTGAGCACGATAGCGGATGTGCTGCACGATGAGTATGCATTAGGAATGCAACACGAATTCGTGACTTTTGATCTGAGTGAGAATCTGCCGCCACTACCAGAAACTGTGAGAAATAGCGGATGGAAATCAAATTCGTTCAAGAAGACAACACCAGTCTGATATACCGTCAGGTATGTTATTTTCAAAATTTTCACATTCCATCCAAATTCAAGTACGATACAAGATATCGTGGGTATTGGTAGCATTGCGCCGAGTGCCTCGCGCATACATTCGCTCATCATTAAAATGCCATTCTTATTCGTTTGCTTGAAATGAAAACTTTTGAAATAAAAAAGTAAAGAATGCTGAGATTCTAATTGAAAATGTAGATGAAATAAAAAGTAATATCAAATTCAATATTAAATGTAAGCTTCTAGCATTGAAATGTAAAATTTAAATTGCTAAAATGACTTCCAACATTCTCGAATATCGTGTGATTTCTTTTTCAATCATAAGGCTTTTCTTTCTTGTATGATCATTCTATAATAATAATTTAATGTACGAAACCACAGAATCGCGTCGAATTAACTAAGATATCTACATTTATCGTAGGTATGCTAGATTAGTGCAAATTGTCCAAAGCAGCGATGTCGACTCCGAATGCGAGAGCGAAGCCAGAAAAGAAACGGCGAATACTGACAAAGAGGATTTCCCCGAAGCGAATCTAATTAACATGGGGGATGCGGATGAAAAAAGTTTGTTGTTGGACAATCAGTGAAATGTTCTCAAAATATTTACACATAATGATAAGCGATCGAAGATGGTAGGTTTTGGAAAAGAGAAAAGGAAATTATTAATAGTCGATACTTCAAATAAAATACGTGTCTTACACGATAAAACTGGATCTGTGCCTCTTCAGACGTAAGATGTTTGGCGTTAAGAACGCAGCTCGATATCTCTATGTACCATTTGTCTTTGAAAATTGTTTTACTTTCAGTAGAAGTAGATTAGATAGTGATGCGCAAGACTTCAAATACATACCAATATACGTGCTATGTAAAATATTATCAAATTCTCGTCCGAAGAACAATTAAGTAAACAGTTCAATAAGATGAAAATAATCAACTTAATAATAATAATGATGATTTTTTTTTCTCAAAATTATAAAAAATAAGCATTTTTTTACTCATAATTGCCAAGCAATTTGTATATTATATCGCATAAAAGTAAAGATGCAACTTCAATTACTCACGTGCTTCTATCTTTGTGCTAAAACTACATTTCAATGATGTGCTGTATAACGATAGAGAATATGTTGATATTATAAAATTATATATATATATATATATATTAGAAATAGCTCGTAATCATAATTTGTAAAGACAAAAAAAAAAAAAAGAAAGACAAACACAGACATAAAAATTTTATATATTGTTTATGTTATAAATAATATATCAGGTATAAATGTACACACGAATTGTCTCTCGTTATTGACAGATCGAAGCAAAAAAATTATATCACCGTAAATCGACAAAAACAAACTATTAAAAATTATATCTTAAAATATATTTTTGTTTTTTCGTTATGATTGAAATTATTTTCTTATTGTTTATATAGATATGATATCTAAAGTTACAATTCGTAGTTTAATAATAAAGAACAATATTCTGTACTTTCTTCATAATTGAAAATAGTGATTGTGAATAATGTTGAGATGCACCGATATCATTACAAAAAGTTGTGTGTCACGCGTAATTTACAATTTCTTACTCTTACATTCTCTTCAGTGACATTAGTAAGTTTTAGTGATTTACAAATCTACTGATTTCCTCGCAAGTAAGATATTTAAACGTAAGACTTAAATGTTAATATAAATAATGAAGGTTTTTTACAAACTTATTATATTATTTAGAATTAATCAAACCATTAAAATAAAGAAGATAAACATTGATGATGAAACATATAAATGTATCGAAATGTTCCATTATTACATTACAGTGCTACGATGTAAATATTAACTGAGTCCCTTCTTATTTCTTATTAACTTGAATACTTTAATTTACAATATTTATAATTTTTACATCATATACATTTACAATTTAATCTGCAAAACATATAATAATCAATTATTGCTTTAAAACATTATCTTATGTTTTATAATGTAATTGCTCCTTGAACGAAAAGTCATAAAACATTTTTACTACTATTGAAATAAATATATGTTTATACGAAGGATTTCTTGTAATAACAGGTAAATATTGAAAAAAAAATTACTTTCATTGCCACATAAGTGTTTGTTCAAAACTATAAACAGATTATAAACGAAGAGTTATGATGCTAATAAAACTCAATGGGGTTTCCCTTTACACCGGTCATTTAAAACGCAATTTTACAGGCGCTATTTTCAACTATTTTGTTTTTTATTATATTGTTTATTTTTTTGTTTTTAGTTGATATAAATTGTCCCTGGCGTCGCGATGCAATTTACTTTTATCCCTTAGATACAAAATGTCATTTACATTTAACGAATTTAGAAGTCGAAGTAATTTTTTTTTTTTTTTTTAAGAGAGAGAGAGAAAGATTTCGCACTTGAAGATACAAGCAGCCTGAGTTAAAGTAGCGATTATTGAAATGCTTGTCATATATTCTATATTATGATCGAGAGTGTGGGATTAGTTATTTTAACGTGGCAATTTATATTCCAATTTAACAAGTACTTAAAAACCTTTCTTTTTTCTTTTTTCTCATTAATGAATCTAAATTAACGTATATAACGTTCCTTTTTTTTATCATCAATTTTTTATTATTGATTAATTAATAATATTTTATTACTCGTGTAATAAATCGAATCTTCTTCGTAAATACACAAACGAAGAATATAATTTATCTGAAAGTATTACCGCGTGAATTTCAATTCGTTTTAAACATACAATTTGTACTTAACAGATAAACATCCGTCTAACTCTACAAGCAAACGCTTACTACCGAACCCAAACTAAATGACTGTTTAACAGTCACATTATTCTAATTCCCTTTTGACAAACAATTCTATTAAAATGCTAAGCATATTTAAACGAATCGATTAGTTTAACATTTAAAATATTGCCACCTGCAAATTAAAATTATGTATTTTGCCCTCGATAAATTCTTATAACACTCCATTGATGATATTATTATTATTATTAATATTATTATTCCATCCATATTTCCCGTGGAGAAATTTTAATCTCTCTTGCTTTAACATCTGAATACAGGAGGAATTTTCTCAGCTTTGACAAATGAATGGCTTGCTCGAATAAGTGAAAAGGAATAGGTCTCTCAACGACCGATAATCGTCGGTTCATCGGCCATAGCAAGCTCGTCATTGGGTGCCCGGTCACGTTTTCGTTTCCTCGAGAACAGCATGAATGCGCAGCCCGAGAGCAAATTGCCGAGAAATACGAACCAGGCGAGAATTAAGGAGTATCCAGCAAAGATTTCCACAGACTTCGGAAAAATCCAGTTGTCGCGCTTACTTCCGTAGTCCCTCGATGATAAGAGCACCTGTATTACTACCATTACACATGCACCTGGAACAAGCAAGTTCACCATCTCTCAATATCAGTTTCTATTTTTTTTTTATTATTTTCTTCTTTTCTCCCATTTTCTTCCTTCACATTATAATCAATTTTATTTCATCAAATATAAAATGGCAATTTTTTTTTTTTTAATGATGGGAAGCTACTTTTAGACAATTTACTTAATGTAATCAAAATTTAACGTTCATATTTTTTTTAGAAGTTTTATTTTAATTTTACGAGGAACACATGTTGTATTGTAACACGAAATGACTTTTGCAAAATATTATCGTTTCCAATTTTATGTATAAAAATTAGTGATTGGTAATTGTGAAAATGCTCTAATACATTAATAAAATGTAAATAAAAAAACTAACATATCCTCACTTACTTGACTACATTCGTAGTAGTGTCGACTAATTAATGAATATTCGTTTTATCATTGGTTACCTCATGATTATAATTCATTCCTAATTAATTCCTAAAATATCTCTGTTATTCCATGTATTGAATATTATTACAATTATTATGATATAATTTAATTTTCATCTATATTTTCATTCTTTTCCTATATATTCAGTATCAGCTAGTACGTCATTTAATAAGTTAAAAGTTCATTTATTATTATTTTCTAATGCGTGTGAGTCGATGTTAAAAAATATTGAATAATAACTTTTGAAAGTTTGAAACCCCAATTAAAATTATTTTCTGATATATGGATTAAGAAGAGGAAGATTTAAAGTAGTCGAGAGTAACTGAAAGTTTTGACCGAGACTTTTTCAAAATTAAATACTAGAGTTTTCAATATTTACCAGACCCTCGGAGCTTCTAATTTTAATACAAAATACAAAATGATAATGCAAACATTTTCAATTTACATATATTTTTGTCCTGAATGAATAATAGATATTTAGTGGAAAGCATAACTTTATAAAAATATTCTACCGAAACCAAAATTCAAAAGCATTTACAAAGCAATTAAAGTTTTATTTTAAAATTCATCTCTTTATTTATGCATTAAAAATGATACTAATTTATCAATTTTTGTAATTAATCTTAAATGAGTTTTAATACCGGAAAGAATAAAATTGAAAATACGGTTACAAACCAATAGAGTACTTTAAGATTTTATCTGTTGTAAAGTTCTTTTACGTGATTCTCTGTTCTTTAATCTCCTCAGTGAAAAAAATACTTTAAATTAGATTTTCAATTTTTGTATACTTTAACTATCAATTAATACAAAAATAATATCGATTTATTATATCGAATTAAAAAACTCCTTATGCAGGGGTCTGGCAAGATAAGAGTGATTCTTGTTAAAGCCACTTAGAATTTTGCTATGTGCATCTATTAACTTTAATCTTCTATAAACTTTACTGATCCATTTTTGTAAAACTTTTATTTTGTAACAATTGCCTTAGTATAAATTACATTCGCTGAATTATTAAATTAAAAATTTTAACAACATACTAAGCTTAAGACATTGTAAATTCAATATTATATATTATATTATATGATAACACATTATAACGTTAAATAATTATATTAAAATAATTACATTATTTAATAATTAATAATTAATAATAATATAATAAGGTAATAAAAAATTATAAATATTATCGATTGATTGTAATATCGTCGTTATAGAAATTTCAAAAATAATATTTTCAAACTTCATTTATAATTGCTTGAAATAATATAATTTCAGGAGTAAAATTTTTGCTCGAAAATAATGTAATTAATACAATAATAATGTAAAAACATTTTTCATATTTTGTGTTCAAAGACATAAATTCTTGTGGACATATAATTCTTTGATCCATTTAAGAAAAAATGTATTTAAAAATCGTCAGTGACATTCAGCATATTTTAAAATAAAAATTATGTATAAAAATTTTTATATGAAAATATGAAATTCATTTATATCAAATAAAAATTGGAGATTACAACAGTCTCCATTTGTAATGCCAATAAGTTTATAATCCAATAGTATTATAAATAAATATGATGCGTTTAAATTATTAAATATTAAAATAATTATTCTTTCATATGATTATTATAAGTGTCCATGCAAAATGATGTATATACATATTGTTGAAATATTTTTATTATATATTTAATGATTTCCAAATAAACATTTATAATAAATATGATCGACTTACATGTAATAAAATGAATGCCTCCGGCTAATCTCTTAAACATGTATCGTGGATTTCGAAAAGTATAAATCGAAAATCCAAAACCCATCATCATAACGAACGTGCTTATAATAGCGAATGATACATCTGTTCTTGAATAGTCTGAAAAAAAAAATTAATTATTTTTGAAATTTTTTAATAATTTTGAACGTAAATTTTTATTAAAGTAATATAAAGTTATACGCTTTGTACGCGATTCAGTAATCATTTATTAGATTTCATAATCTGACACTAGAATAACAACAATAGTAATTTATTTTTTCCTTATTACTAAATAGCAACATTTAAATATCCTATTTTATTAATTAAGTATTGAATTCAATTTACACATAATATTACAATGATTTAGAAGCATCATTTCTAATATAATTTTATTCTAAAATAATTTACCATAAGTTTGACGTTAATTTATGCATTTCACGTTAAGTTTATTTACATGTTTGAACAAAATTGGCCATTATAATGAATAATTAATAATTAAACGATGGATAAGAAAATAAGGAAATAAATATGAATTACCTTCAGGCCCCCGATTCTCGCCTAACGACTATTTCTTTAATTTAACGAATATTCTCTCATAGGGAAAGCTTTTACACATACTCATTATCTAATACAATTATTAATTTTATCTAATAATACTATTATATTCACCTTTTGCGAATATATTACTGAAGTAATCATTGCTTAAGTTCTTATATGTAAAAGTCGAACAATGCATTTCCTACATTTATAACAATATAAAATTACTATTACATTAATTTTTATACATGAAAAAATTTATCTCGATTATTTCCTATAATTTATATTCACGTTTATTATTATAATATAATATTATAAGGATGCAGAAATTTAATTTGCATGAACTAGTGAATATAGATTATGAGAAAATTCGTTTTTGATTTGCATTCATTCGCATAATTATAAAATAACGGAAGTTAATTATTTTAAATACATCATAAAATATTTAAAATATTTTAATTAGCTTAAAAAAGTTGAATTGTTCCATTAGGATTACCTAATTATTAAGTAATTAAATCAAACAACAAGTTAAGAGGAATTCTCCTTTTTATTACAAATAGAAAGGCATTATTTCTCTGCGACGAAAGTCCTTGAAAATTCGATAACAATCAATACTTTGTCAGCTCTATTTTCTTATAAAATAGTTTTTACTCAATTCAATTACCGTGAAATATGTTCATTTCCAACGTTGTTCGTAAGCGATAAACAAAATTGCCGAAGCTACCCTGTAATTATAATCCTCGCTTACACAGGCGCGCGTTCCACTTCGATCAATCGCTCAACAAATTATCTCGAATGAAGCATAAAGAAGAACTCGCTCGTGCTTTGCCCCTCTTCAAAAAAGCTATAAAAAGCCAAAGACGCAAAAGGAAAATTGATTAGAAAGCGCTCACCTAACGACGTTTACGTTCTATCGGAAGTGAAACAAGAGGCGCGGCGCTCCTCCACCCCATCGTCTCATCCTCAATCGGCCGATCTGATAAAAATTCTTGAACCGTGTATAACTGTGATGGGCGTCGAACGTACTTATCGCGCCAAATGAGGTGAAAACAGAGCATTCGGTTTTTATTTCTGGACCGCTTCACGCGTATTTATGACCATTTCCCTTTTCTACGCTTTACGACTTTTCAGTAGTTTGTGAATGAGTCGCGAGGCGCATTATACATTCCAACTGATTCGTAGTTTGGATTTTTATGAACGCTGAAATTCATGCGCATCCTCTTATGACACGTTTGCGAAGCTTTAAAGATCGAAAGCAAAAAGAGGGCACAAAAGTATGTGGAAATAAATTATTCGCATACTTACTGCCGACCGAGCGGCGTCTCATCTCAAATAAATTGCATGATGGAATTTTGACGTTATTTTGCCTTGTCAACTACTCGAGTACTTCGTAAAACATATGCTCGTATATTTTATTTGCCGAGTAATTCATATTTTAGTTAATATCATTTAACTTGAATATAGAAAAAAAAGGATCGTGTTCGTCATGAAAAAGGCCTTCTTCATGACTTTTGTTTAATATTTAATATTATAGTTTAATTATTATTATAATTACGTTATATGGAAGTAATTAGTAATTTAAAATTCAGTGATAAATTTTTTTTATTAAAGCATCAATATTTTAATTAAATAGAAACGAAGAATCATATAATAACGAATACTACTTATGGAGAATTGAAACTGCATTTAGATAATGATAAATAAATATAAATCGAGGCATCACGCTAATTAACAACAAAGCAATACCACTAGTCTCTTATTCCCAGAACAATTTAATGATAATTTTTTTCCCCTGTAAAATACAGTCCTAATAAATACAGTTTTCAAATATTTATAAATATACATTAATCATCATTAATTACATGTAATACAATGTATGCACGAAAAATTAATTAGCCTACTAATTATTAAACTGAGTACGTGTGTTTCACAAAGTAATATAAGCCCTATCGTATAAAGTAATTTTATTTTACTTAATAAGTTCTTTTATCATCAAACGGAGACACAAATATGTATTTTACGAAAAAACCAAATTAAAATTAATAATAATATGTTAAAAGATTTCAATTTTTGCATAGTTATTTTAAAAGCGTGTTTCTTTTAATCATAACATTCTACTCGATTTACAGAAAACATTAAGCGACTTGTAGATATTGCACGTGTAAAATCATTGAACGAAATAATAGTTTCGTAAATACGAGGATAGACTATCGATAAAGTTTTATTGTATCTGTGTACTTACTTATAAGTGTCTTATCCGCGTCAGGTCGTCGTTCTCGTTTCGATTTCATCTCAATCGGAAACATTTCATTCTGAACGCACTCTTCTAAAAAAAAATTGAATTCAAAAGAATGAGTTTCATTTTTCAGTAAAATCAAAAAAAAAAAAAAATCTTAATATTAATCTTATGCTTATGAATATTATATTATAATACTTAAAGTAAAAACATAATTATAATGGAAATATAAATATTACTGTTTTCTAATAACGATGGAACAATCTCTATTTCAATGAATACAAATTTTTATAAATTAAAATTAATTTCCTCATAAACTTTTACATATTCTACGATATTATAATTACCGCATATTACATATACACGAGTTAAAATTATTATTGTAAAAAACGTCAGCTATATTTGACTGTTCGAGTTTATATTTTTTATGCTAATAATGTATACAAAATTAAATTATTTAATAGATAAATGCATAACTTTGAATCCACATTTTCGAGTCATAAATAGAAATAATACCAAAAAAAAAAAAAAAAAAGAATTGATTAAATTACTTCAATTTAATTTTTATTTTGACGTTTGATGGTAATAGCGTAAATATATTTTCTCTTATAGTATTTTGTTATTACATTTCCATAAATAAATTATATAAGGGATATCTTATCAAGTTCACAATTATAAAATTTATTGTTATTCGAAAGTTCAGAGTCAACTAATTTAATTAAAAGGCATCATATATGTGAGCATTTTCGTACACATATACATACGTGCATGCACACACACACACGCACGCACGCACACGCATGTATATTAAAAATATGTACTTACAGAAGTATTCGATAAATATTTAAAGTTTTAATTAGCATGGTTGAAATAACGTTAGATACATGAGAGAAATTAACGAAGCATCATTTTAAAAAGCAATATAATTTCAAATAACAGTTGGAGTAATCTACATAGGACATCATGTTGGCTTTAAAATTAAATAACATTTTTTAAATGCTTGTAAATTGATACATAAAAATATATTTATTAATTAAGAATCCAGATTTATATTCATCAAACGAATTCAAATTCATGCTCATCAAATCAATCCACTTGTTTATTAAGTTAATACTGTTGAATTAAATAATCCCAAAATATGATTAACAACTAAATGTCACGCGGTTCAAAATATTAGCTTTGCAGTGTTTCATTATAGTAAAAATAATCTACCATTCGCAAATAATTTATGCGTACAATTTCTAACTTCCCTTTATAAATAAGTATACCGCATATATCTCCCATAGATGTGTCAAAAAGCGCGAACGACTTTTATAAGGCGATATCGCTCATAATACCGCGTAAAAAGAAATCTCCTTCGTCATCTTCGCGAAGCCACATACTCATGCAAAAATGGCTCTAAGGCGCAGCTATAAAAGCTAGTCGAATTTCGCCGAGACAAAACATGTAATAATATAGAGGACCCCGTCAGTCGTAAACTGCCTCACATTATAAGCCGATCGCACACTTCGTCGAGCATACGAAATCGCGGGGGCGTACGAAAATTTACGGCCTCATCAATGTATCATTACGTTTGGGTATTCGCTGAATCCAAATACCGTGTGGAAAATAACAAGCCTTCTCCCACTCCCACTCCCACCCGACTCGCTCCACTGCGAAGTACGCAATGAGTGATAAATATGCTTTTCGTATTGTCCGAATGGCAATTCGGGCATTTGTAATATTTTTCTACCGATTAAATTCTTTTGTTCGTCGATCAAAAAATTAATAATCTCGTACCGTAAATAGATTTATAATTAATTTTAAAATAGCGTCTTCAAGATTAGTAATTATATTTACAATACGTGTGTTTATTACATATAATTACATGAATTACAGTGTTTAGGGGATAGAAGAATATTTACAGGAATCATTATCGATTTTTTATATATTAAAAACTATCGAAAATCTTTATTTCACAAGTTTGGAATAAGCTATTCATAATTTATTTAAATAAGTAGTTCAATCGTATATGGAAATTTTAATTTCTTGGCAAAAGAATCGTTTTATATTTTCTTTAAACTGCATATATAAATGAAATAAAGGTATTTTATAGAAACTGAAATTTTATCAAATAAATATGCAATAATTCCAAGTGAAACAATTTCAATATAAAGTACAATAATCCTTGTTACGCTTTTATGTTTTTAACTATATGTATATTGACTTTTCTTTTTTTTTTTTGCAAATAAAAATATTAATTTATGTAGAACGTTATAGAATATTTTTAATCTAATTAATTTTATTATTATTAGAATTTTAATTTAAATAAGATTTTTATTTAACGGTAATCTGTAAAGAATTTATTAAAATATGAAAACTTTCTTATTAGGAAGTATCAAAAAATTTTCTTTAAAAAACTAATTTTATTACTATCCACAAATATTTGGGCTTGTAATAATGATGAAGTATGTAGATAAAACTCTTATTAATACAAATATACAAGTAGTATTTAACATAGTTATATTAAGCCTATTTATAAACAATAATAGTAAACACAGATTTATATTCTTTGATTTCATTTACTTAAACATAAACTTCACAAGTTGTGAAAATTTATAAATTCGAGCTATAGATATACTTTACTGTTATATCATATTGTTCATTTTAAAATAGCAACAACTGTTAATAAAATATATAGAAATATTTCAAATTTTTAATATTTTATCGGGTAAATATTCCATTCGGTACATTATAAAATTATATATATATATATATATATATATATATATATTTACAACTATTTTATAACAATAATAAATCTATTATAATATTATTAGTTATTGTATGGTGAAATATTTCAAATTAATAAAATAATCTAATAAACAATATTACGTGTCGAAAAGATTTTTAGTCATATTATATTCTATTAATTTGATTATAATATACTCTATAAGGATTCATTTATATAATTATAAGATAAATAATTTATTAAATTAAATTTCAGCTATTTAAAATTTTGTTTAAATTAATCCATTCTAGTTATAAAACAGTAGTTATATTTTTATATTATGTAACATAAAATACGAGAGAATACTTTACACCGAATAATTATTTTTAGCAAAGTTAAGTTTTTTTCAAAGTTATCGACAAACACATGTACAGATACAAATCAACCAGACGAATAGTTATTTTTCCATTTCCCTTCTTTTATGACTATTAGTACGTGTTCGTACGATTACAAGTCCGTAGGAGTAATGAGTATACGTGCGCCAAGTTCTCATAACTACGAAAAAGAGAGAAAAGAGTGGGGGGGGGGGGGGGGCAATTGAAAAAAAAGAACGCGCAGGAAGAGAAATCCAATTGATGCAGCCTCGTTTCCCTATGGTGCGTAACTGATTTCGCCCAAAGAAAGAAAAAGATGACACATTTAAGGTCACTTCACCTTTATCTTGCAAATAGCGTTTCAGCAGAGCTGTCAAAGTCTCTCATGTAAACCACAGGAAACCACACAGATAAAACGTCAGTCGACATTCACTTGCTCTCCTCCTCCCGCCCCGCGACTGCCACACACATACCCATTGAGGACGAAGTGCCATTTTCAGCAAACTACCCCGCTGTTAACAGCATGTAGGCTGATGTTTATTCAACTATTGAACCGATAACCGCTTCCCTTCATAATTATCAAAACGACCAGGGAACATTCACTAAGCCTAGTTGGTCTTACCACTAATAGCATGTTATGACTCAATCATTGAGGACCTCAGACCGCACATATCTATCTTTGCTCATTTATTTTTAGCATAAACAGAAAATAACAGCAGAAAAAATTCCAATACGTTTTGAAAGCCATAAATACTTATTGCATCACATAAAGCGTTTAGAATTTTATATAAAAGTATTTGAGCAAATATAATATACGATCGTTTATCATATTAATCATCTAAATATAGGATTAATTTACCTATTATTAAGTATTTTATTAATTCGAATTAAACATCGCAATATTGAAATTTATGTCTATATCATTACGAACATAAGTCCGAATCTCATAAAATTCATTGCTTTTCATATAATGAAAGTGATAAGTATTATAAAACACATTAAGAGACGAGTATAAATTACTAACCGACCTTTATTATAATACCATTATTTTAAAAATATTAAATAAAAATATATATGTGGATTAACAATGTACATGGTTATTTTAACATAATCTTTTATTATTATTAGTATTATTATTATTATTATTGTCGATTGACAAGAAATTAGCGTTGTGCTTCAATGTAAAATCAGAGAAATAAATTCCCCTATTTATTATTATATTAATAATAAATAAATTACGAATACGTATCGAATGATTGATTCTATAATAAATAGTAAAAATTTACGACTCACAGGTAATATTACACACCGTACGATTATTAATTAACTGGGAAAATATTTTTTTTAAAAACGTTTTACTCGCATAATATTTATCGCATTATAATTTCACAACACTATAGTTATTTAAAATTAAATATAGAGAAATGTGCTTACGAGGTAGGTACACGTCAGAGAATCGCGTTAAATAATTTAAACATTAATTTACAATAGCTTTTTGAGAAACGCATTTATATGTAATGATGAATAAAAAATTGTATTTTAAACATTTATATTTATATAAATATTTATGCTTATTAAAAAAAAAAAAAAATTATTTAAATATATTATTTAAAATCATAATTCAATGGAATTAATGTTGAAACATAAATATATTTTACACTACAATAATGGAATGAATTAAAACAGAAAATGATACTTTTTTAAAAAAAGAATATAATTTATTTCGAATTCTTTTTTTAATTAACGATATTACTGGTCTTCTACTATGCACTTCAAGCGATCTGCTATTCAAAGAATTATAATTTATTAATGATATATTAATAAAACTCTTATTAAAAATTTATGCCAATTTAAAATTAAACAAAATTACATTAAATTTCCTCTTATAATATTTATAAATCCTTTTTTATCTGTATGTACAATAGTCCTTTGATTCATGGAAATATTAATGCACTCTGTCTCTTCAGCAGTAAATAGATTATTTCGTAAATATTTATAGTATTACAGCATACGCAATAACTTCAAAATCGGCACAAAAATGATAGTTACCGTGAGTAGTTTGAACTACGCAATCCAATATAACATCGCGAATATTTATAATTAGAGAGTTAAGCCTACGGAAGGAAATGTTAAAAGTTCACTCACTATAAGGCATAGTGTCGGAACCGTTAAGATAATCCTGCACATAGCCGTAACTGCAGGTCCTGAAAAGCCCGGAGTGCCCATTGAGGAAGATTCTGGTCCCATTCCTGGCACCCGACTCCCCGACGACGATCTTCTCATTCGGGGACGTGTAGGCCACCAGCCAATGGTCGGTTGCAATTGAGACTGCCCACACGCAAACCAAAAGTCCCACGAGGATCGTGCAGAATAACAAAATCCGTCTTTCGAATACAACCTGAGAACAGTAATGTTAAATATCGTGTAAATCCCCCCCCCCACCACCGCCATCTGCCATTCATATTCATTCATATGTGTGCGTGCGTGTTTGCGTTCGTGCGTGCGTACGTTCGTGTGTGTGTGTGTGTGTGTGTGTGTGTGCTTGTGTGCGCTTGTGTGTTAAATGCATTGAGAGAAAATTATTGCAATAGGCGCGATGAAGAGTGAAACGAAGAATAGTAGAGTCGTTAAAGTCTAAGATAAATATTTAGAAGCGAGAATCGTAAGGAAAAATTAAGAATGCAAAGGTCGGGTATTGTTTTATAAAATTCAATTATTATTCGGTCTTGTAAGACAGAATGGCGCAGATTATAAAGTAGCGAAGAAATGGAAAAGTACCAGACTTTCATTGTATTTAAAAATCAATGAAATAAAACGTAACCACGGCATTATAATTTCTTTCATTCGCTTTTAGAATGACCACATAAAAATTATTATTCGTAAAAAAAAAACTTTTGAAAGACGTTATTAGCGGTTGGCATTGAATGAAGAAAAATTAAATTTCTATTATATATCCACTTCAAACGTCAAATTACAATTGGCTGTGCCCATTATTTTTCCATCTCAATAAATCAGAAAGTTTTTCGGTTAAATTCTTTAATACATATAAATATGTTTCAGATAAATGTAAGTGCATATGAGAATAATAGATCATCTTATACAATTAAGAGATTTATTGTTCTTGATTAAAAGACATTAGAAAATTTTGAGATATATCATTCGTATATGAAGTTATTGAAAATAAATTGTCAACTATTCAATTATAAATTATGATGATAATTTTCGAATGTAACTGTATTCGATCGAACCATACGATTGAGCAGAAAAAAAAATCAAATTTAATGTCGATTTCTTAAAATAACTACAATTCTAAACAAATTACACTCATATTCAAGATGGATCATCTTATATAATTTATAATCAAGAAATAATGATAGAAACACAATCTACATAAATATATCAGGCAATCTATTTATACAGATTTATTTTAAAAGATTTGACGAAAGTCAATGTCATGCATATTCAATGATTTTATTATTAAACACTATTAATATTTTATAAGCTATATAACAAAAAATAACTTTACTATTACAGATGGTTATTTTTATTTTTACTAAGAGTAATCGGTCGATCATCAATGGTTAATTGATTAAGCATTAATTTCGACAAACTTTTCAATAATTACAAAAACGATTTTTGTTTAAATTATAAAATATATAGATAAATTTTTACATACACATATAAAAGAATTAATAAATATACACAGACAATGCGTATATTATAAAATATTTCATATTCCAAAATTAGAAAAGATAAATAATGTCGTCGATAACTTTATCCATAATATTCTTTCTAATTCCTTGGATGTATAAATTTAAATTTTAAAATAACCGGCCTGTTAAAGTTCCATAAAAAAGAAAAGAGAAAGAGCGACGGATGTCATTGTACACGACTAAATAACAAAGAAGAACAAAGCCTCGAAAATTGCTTATAATTGAAAAAATATGAGCACCAAGCCGAGACGAATATCGTAACTTCCATTGACGAAAATATTGGTTCGAGAGTCAATCTTCAGCGAGAAGATAACAAAAAAAAAAAACTCGGGAGTTCGGATAAAGTAGCACGTTCAGAAAATTTAACCGAGAATTTTCCAGAGCCAACAATTCATTAATAAACACACTTGAAACAATGAAAGTTAGTTGAATAAGAAAAATAGGAGTGACATTGAGCGCCACGTCAATGTAAATCTTCTCGGGCTACTTTTTGTAACTTTACTGGCCCAGATTTTTAAAACGAATTTGCTTAACCTCCTCGCTTTTCCTCCTCATTCCAATCACATATTCATATATTTTTATAGAAAGACATGTTTATTTACTGCCGACAAACTTTTCTTTAATAATAACTTTTACATGCTTTTTAATTCAAAAGTGGAAAAAAATTCAATTTAAACTTTCCATTATCTTCCTTTCCATTGACATTTATTTTTATCTTTATTATTTTAAAACCATCCAATATGCGAATAGCGATGAAAAAAAGAAGAAGAAGAGATGAGAAGAGAAGAGAAGGGAAGAAAAGAAAAAAACGCAAAAAAGTCATTCTACTTAATAGTTTCCAGTACACTAAAGAATTCCGTATTCTCGTCTGTTTTTTATAACCTTAGACTCGTAAAACGACGGCACTCAAGGAGCGCGCGTTAGTGACGAAAATGAAAATGCGGAAAAATTTTGAGAGCTCGTAAGAAATAGAGATTAAAAAAAAGTCAGAAGCCGACGTACTTGGGTATAAATGGCTTTCATTCGATTCGGCATCGCTCGGCGTTGATAACGAAGCGCTCCTTTACTTCGTGGCGCTGACCTGCCGCTATAAAGCCAAATCCCATTTGCGATTTCGTCCTTTCATCGGGACGAATCCTTCTGATCCGGCGGCAGTGTCCGAGTCTCACGACGGCCTTCCACCAGCCATCGAAATCACGAGATCCTTGCGCTTCATACTCATTTTGCTCGATGCGCCGTCGAAGATGTCTCACTTGCTCCAACTGAAATAGGAAAGGAGATGGATTATGCATTTCTCTATTGAGCTTATAATCTCATTAGGAGACGGCCACTTTGATTTTTAATAATTGGTCGCGGGAAATTTGAGAAGCCAACGTAACAGTTGCTGGAAAGCTTGAATAAAGGATGAATTGAGTTAACTAGCGACTCGATAAACCGTAATATAACGTCATAACTGCCGAATAATTGTTTTTCCAATTCTCTTTTGACCGGTTGACGAAAATAATATAACAAAAATCTAGATGCATCGTTTGTTTTTCCAAACTTTTTCATAATAATCGAGCGCTCGGCAATATTTATATACAACTATTTTTAATTCGTGGTTCCTCAAAATTATTCGAATTAACATTAAAATGTTGAGTGCTTTGGGTATATTGGTGAGGTCATTATCCGACCAAAAATCTTACACAATCGTTACAAGTATATAACGATTCGTAATTAAATTATGAAATATTTTGATGCTTTCAGTGCTATTAATACTACATGATAAATTCGCAAGTGTCTATTCAATTTATTTTGTGATAGTGCTCCTTAATCATTTTAAATACATAGACACACTTATAATACGAATAATACGAAATTTCGATATAATACGAAAGAATATAAAAATCTAATTAATATATCATTCATCCGTAAAGTTTGCTTTACAAAATATTTTGGACAGAGAGTTGGGCTGATGGGACAATACAAAAAAAAAAAAATAAATGAAACTCGAGTACACAGAAATATTCCTAGTATATATTAGAAAATAAATTACAATATTATTTAGAGAATTAAATGATTTTTTAACTGTGATTTTGTTACGTATTATTTTATTCGTAGTGCAAAATGCAAACACACCAAATGTATTAATTAACACGTCGTATTATATGTGAATGTTTATATATAAAAATATTGCGTGCGAAGCTATTTTAAAATGTAATTTTATTCTGTGTGTAATATTAAAAAGTTTTAACGTGTACGTGAAATTTAATGTGATAGAAACATTATCAAAGTGAAATTAAAGTAGACAATTTTTAGAAAATTATTTTTAACATTATTTCGGCATTCGCTAAAATATGAAATTAACATCTAGAAATAGTTGCTCGTAAAATTAACGTTTGCCTAAACTAATAAAAATGATAAATATATCATGAATATATTTATTCCCTTTCCTCCTTTATCCTATATAATAATCTCTTAAATGAATTTCATACTATGTCCTATCAACAATGTCGTGATAATTTGAAAATTAATTAATTTTTTTTTATTATACTTAGATAATGTTAAGCTAATTTATTTTATCTAAAAAATTATGTTTTATTTATAAAAGATATTTTATATTATGCATATAATACCTGATTTATTTGACTAATTCAGAAATATATCGATTTACAAGATTATCGAAATTTATTCAAATTCATTATAATAATCTTAATTATTTCGATAGTCTTATAGCAGATTAAGATGATTTAAAGTCGTATGCTATGTTTATTTATTTACTACAAATAAACATGCTATGTTGATTGAAATAAATTGCAATGTTACTTTCTTAACCGTGATTTTACTTTTTTCATGATCCCCATAATAATCAAACGAACATATTTTTTTACAAAAAAATTTAATTTATGTACTACTACAGTTTTTCTACATTAATACTATAACCGAAATAACTTAGGAAAGATTTTCATTCGAGTTTTCTTATAAGCTACTATAAATAAAGAATAGTTGGCTCTATTTTTTAATTTTAACTTGAAATAATTATGAACTGTCTGAATGTAAGTTGCTTGAAAAATAAATAACTTACTTGGAAGTTTATACTTTTTTTTTTGTTGATTTTGTATATATTAAATTATGCTTTGTATATAAATGTTATATAATAACATTTATTATTTCAAACTGTTTGATATGAAATTGTAAATATCAAATTGTAATGTTCAAAAATTTATAGAGAACAATAGATATATTATAATAATGATTTTCTATTAAAAATACTGATTAAATGTGAAATTGATGCCGTAAACAAAATTTTGAGTTTCATTAAATTAAATTAAATATATGACAATAATAATCTAATTAAATGAGTAAAAAAAATTTATAATATCTCAAAACGCTCATAAATACAGTATATTTACATTAACTTTCTGTGACAAAATTACATAAAAAAATAATAATAAAAGATAATCGTTTCTTACGTGTTTTATGAAAGAACATCTTACTAGCTTGAACGAGAATAGCACAAAATTAAAAAAAAAAAAAGAAAAAAAAACATTTTCTCCTACAGTAGAATAATCTTATTTTCTATAAATAATATTTTATATAAAAAATAAATGAATATTATAATTTTTGTTTAAAATACAAAACAATTCAAAAATTCATTATAAAATGAATATCATAGAAAAACCTTTCATAAATATGAAAAATATAAAAAGTAAATGCATATTTTAATTTATTCTTTTTAATTTTGCATAATATAACATAATAGATTATCATACTCTATTATCATACTCTACAGTAAAAATAAACAGTAGTATCATTGTTTTTTTAATTGAAAATTTAACAATTAAAAAATTAATCTAAACTAAGAAACTCATAATCTTTTTTTAATTAACAAGCAAACTGATTTTAATGCTAAATATTAATATTTGGTAAGAGATATGTGCGTTCATGTGTGCGTACATGCGCGCGTACATGCGCGCGTGTGTGCATTATACAAATAAATTTAATTTACTTATGAACACGTAATTCGATTGAATGTACAAATTCTTATGAAAATTATTTTGAAAAAAATATGGCATAAAACGATTTCCAAACGAAAAGTCTATTGTTAATAAAAATTTAACGAAAAATTACGTTTACTAGAAATATTAATACATCTATTTATTATTGTACTTATTTCATTTGAAAAATCATAAAAGATTATATTAAAATTTGAAATAGTATTCCAATTAAATGTCAACTCGATAAATTTGAGAAATTAATTGAAAATATATTTTTAAAACTTTTTCAAAGAAGTTTTCGCAATTCTTTCATCACAACAACTTGTGACTTATAAAACTTAGCCTCCTGATTATTTAATATGTTTAAATAGAAATCTTTATATACCATAGTCGTAATATTTTTATATATTTTGTAACATATTGTAATTGAAAACATCTATTACGAATTTCAACATTAATGTAAAATTATTATCGCTATAATAACATCTCATAAGGGAAAGATGTATTATGCAGTTTTACCATCGAATATTATATTTATCGCGATAATTACATTTTAATTTTAATTAATTTAAATTTATTAATATTAATAACCTTTTCTAAATATTAATATGATGTTTTATCCATGACATAGTAAGCGAGGCTGTAAATTTAATCCCGAAAATGTTATATATTCAATAGAATCGCAATTTAAAAGAAAATTATTAAATTTTCTCCATTTGAAGCATTTAATAATCTGATATTCAAAAGGTGATGATTCAAAAGATTGAAAAGCTGCTTTATTGCTTTATTTACGCTATATATTAATTAGAAATTCTGTCTACCTATCCTAATGCTCTATTTAAATCACACTTATTAAGTATTTTAGAAACGTTTTAATGAGATTTTTTTCCACCCTTTGTTTACGATATCATCCATATAATAATAAGAAATGTTATTCGTATATTTATTAATTAATGCTTATTAGAATATCAATGGGTTATTTGTATTTTTAATTCTACACTATTCCTACTCAAGTGTTGTATTTATAAATGTGAGATTTGATAGGAAATGAATCTATTTTAATTATTGCTTATTGCAAATAAATTAGTTGACGTTACGCCCACAAATTCACGCAACCAAGTAAATAAACCTCCAACGTTTACTTTATCAGTTTATCTTAAAATATCAGATTATTTTCTATTCTAGCATCCATTTATACGAAACAAGCTCGTTTTAGATTGCCATTTGGCAATGACTATAGAACTATTTGCTAATCTCCGCGACAGTGATTTGAAATCGAGTGAGTAAATTAATTTTTACGCGCGAGATCGCGAACCTCGATCCCTAGTCAATAATCCCGACAGCGATTATTCATCGTTACGAGCACTTCGACATAATGAAACGGACATCTCGTTAGGGTGTGAGCGCGGGCAAGAAAATAGACCGGCGCCCGCTCATCCGTTTCCAAATGATATTTTAAGTTACGACTAGGACCCGCTACTGGCTGCTCCCTATAAAGTACCGGGCGCGAACACATGAAGATCGAGAGGACCGGGAAACCCGGGAATGCTCCTGTGCCAGAATAGACGTACGACGTCAACAGCCGTCATTGTTAATCCGACGGCTGGCAGCGCTTCCCTTAGTCAGTGCCGAAAGTGCTGACTGGGGTCGAAGAAAAACGAGATGCTAAAAGTGTTAGTTATTCCTCGTTGGGACTTTTCATCGAGTCACCGAGAGCGTAATCTGTGACTGGCATTATAATTCTGAGGAAAGTGACGGCGCATTTTGACCATCGGTTTAAAGAGAGAGAGAGAGAGAGAGAGAGAGAGAGAGCGACTTAAATTATTGCGTCGTATAATTCTCACGAGGAGCTTCGACAGTTTCTTTGACTTTAGAAAAATCAGACGTACACGAATTTCGTACGCATGCGAATCATAAAGAAGATAATTAAGTAACTGACTGAAAAACAAAGTCACTTATTTCTAACAAAGTACAGAATTGAAATAAGAAACGCATGAATTCGCTTTGAAGACGTTCTATTCTCATGAGAAATCATGTAGCGCCTACTGACATCGCATTCCAGAAATTTCATTCCACACTCTTAATTTTCCTTGCGCACATAAACTCCAAATTTATTAATGGTTACTTCGTTTTTTGAACAAGAAAAATATAGAATAAATTATAATCAATGTTAAACTTTTTTTTCAAATATATTCTTACGATTTAATCGACATTCATAAGAATAATATATCGATATATTAAGTAAATACAATTGTAATTTAGTGCAATTAATAAATAAAGT